CTGCAAGAGGCTGGATGGCCATCTGTTGGTAGGGTTTGGGTTGTGTCTTCATCCCTTCCAACTGTGAGTATAACAGTAGGAGTAGTAGTAGTAGTAGTAATAATAATGCATAATAATAATAATAATAATAATAATAATAATAATAATTCTATCTTACTGCCTGGACTGGATGGCCTTTGGGGGTCCCTTCCAACTCAATAATAATAATAATAATAATAATAATAATAATAATAAAGGATAATAATAATGGATAATAATATAATAGTAACTCGATCTTACTGCCTGGCAGGTAGAAGGGGGCTGGACTGGATGGCCTTTGGGGGTACTTTCCAGCTCTAGAATTCTATGAGCCCCACCCAGCACTTACTTCTTGCAGATGGGCACCTGGGCTTCAGACAGGAAAGGGGTGCCCACGGCTTCGGCATGCAGGGAGAAGAGACCCCCCAAAATGTAATCCCCTTCCAGGCGGAAGTCGGAGAAGCGGGGGGCGCCTCCTGAGCTCCCCAGGGCCACCAAGGCTCCCAGGGAGGTGACCACTATGGCCACTATGGCGAAACCCATGGTGCTGGATTCCCCAGAGACGGGCCCCCCATTTAACACAGCGGCCCCTTTGCGTTGGAGCCAGAGACCGACTCATTTGCCTGCAGCCAAATCTCCCTCCACGGTCCGGTGCAGCACATACCTAATGCCCCAGGTGAGGGGAGCCAGGTCGGCACTTTAGGCCACAGGTAAATTTCCATCAGTAGAGGCGGCACGTTCCGCTGGGTTGATTTACCTTGCAGGCAGGTGTGTTTCCATCACTGAAAGCAGCCCTTCCCTCTGAGTTAGCTTTCCTGGTCGACAGATATGTTTCAATCAATTCATGCAATACTTCCCTCTGAATTGGCTTACCCAGATGCAGTACTTTTTCTTGAGATTGGCTCACCTGTCTGCCAGGTATATATCCATTGACGGATGTAGTATCTCCCTTTGGATTGGCTTACCTGGTCGACAGGTGTTTCCATCAATGGATGCAATACTTCGCTCTGAATTGGCTTACCCGGATGCAGTACTTTTTCTTGAGATTGGCTCACCTGTCTGCCAGGTGTATATCCACTGACGGATGTAGTATCTTCCTTTGGATTGGCTTACCTGGTTGACAGGTATGTTTCCATCAATGGATGCAATACTTCCCCCTGAATTGGATTATATGGATGCAGTACTTTTTCTTGAGATTGGCTCACCTGTCTGCCAGGAATATATCTATTGACGGATGTAGTATCTCCCTCTGAATTGGCTTACCTGGATGCAGTACTTTTTCTTGAGATTGGCTCACCTGTCTGCCAGGTGTATATCCATTGATGGATGTAGTATCTCCCTTTGGAATGGCTTACCTGGTCGACAGGTAAGTTTCCATCAATGGATGCAATACTTCCCTCTGAATTGGATTACCTGGATGCAGTATTTTTTCTTGAGATTGGCTCACCTGTCTTCCAGGTGTATATCCACTGACAGATGTAGTATCTCCCTTTGGATTGGCTTACCTGCTCGACAGGTGTTTCTATCAATGGATGCAATACTTCCCTCTGAATTGGATTACCTGGATGCAGTACTTTTTCTTGAGATTGGCTCACCTGTCTGCCAGGTGTATATCCACTGACGGATGTAGTATCTCCCTTTGGATGGGCTTACCTGGTCGACAGGTATGTTTCCATCAATGGATGCAATACTTCCCTCTGAATTGGATTACCTGGATGCAGTACTTTTTCTTGAGATTGGCTCACCTGTCTGCCAGGTATATATCCATTGACGGATGTAGTATCTCCCTTTGGATTGGCTTACCTGGTCAACAGGTATGTTTCCATCAGTGGATGCAATACTTCTCTCTGAATTGGATTACCTGGTCTACAGGTATGTTTCCATCAATGGATGCAATACTTCTTTCTGAACTGGATTACCTGGATGCAGTACTTTTTCTTGAAATTGGCTCACCTGTCTGCCAGGTGTATACCCATTGACGGATGTAGTATCTCCCTTTGGATTGGCTTACCTGGTCGACATCTATGTTTCCATCAGTGGCTGCAATACTTTCTTCTGAATTGGATTACCTGGATGCAGTACTTTTTCTTGAGATTGGCTCACCTGTCTGCAAGGTGTATATCCATTGACAGATGTAGTATCTCCCTTTGGATTGGCTTACCTGGTCGACAGGTATGTTTCCATCAGTGGATGCAATACTTCCCTCTCAATTGGATTACCTGGATGCAGTACTTTTTCTTGAGATTGGCTCACCTGTCTGCCAGATGTATATCCATTAACAGATATAGTATCTCCCTTTGGGTTGGCTTACCTGGTTGACAGGTATGTTTCTATCAATTCATGCAATACTTCCCTCTGAATTGGCTTACCTGAATGCAGTACTTTTTCTTGAGATTGGCTCACCTGTCTGCCAGGTATATATCCATGGATTGATGTAGTATCTCCCTTTGGATTGGCTTACCTGATCGACAGGTATGTTTCCATCAGTGGATGCAATATTTCCCTCTGAATTAGATTACCCAGATGCAGTACTTTTTCTTTATATTGGCTCACCTGTCTGCCAGGTATATATCCATTGACGGATGTAGTATCTCCCTTTGGATTGGCTTACCTGGTCGACAGGTGTTTCCATCAATGGATGCAATACTTCCCTCTGAATTGGATTACCTGGATGCAGTACTTTTTCTTGAGATTGGCTCACCTGTCTGCCAGGTGTATATCCATTGACGGATGTAGTATCTCCCTTTGGATTGGCTTACCTGGCTGGTGGGTACAGTTATGTCAGTAGAGGCAGTGCGTAAGGATGACAGGTACATATCCATGAGTGGATGTAGTACTTCCCTCTGAATTGGCTTATCTGGATGCAGTACTTCTTTCTAGATTGGCTTACCTGGCCAGCAAGTATATTTATGTCGGTGAAGGACATACTTAGGTTGGCTTATCTGGATGCAGTACTTCCCTCTGGATCGGCTTACCTGGATGACAGGCACATTTCCATGGGTGGATGCAATGCCTGGATTATTTTAGCTGGGAGTTGTAGTTTGGGGATTGTAACCCTGATTGGGAGTCAAATCTCTGGTATAAACACGCAGCCCTCTATGCAAAGCATTGGTTTTCTCAACCAAATCCAGCCCCAGCTCCACTTTGCATGGGAAATAGCTGAGTCTGTTGCAACCCACATTGATTTGCATGCATTTATTACAATAACATGTAATATTACTAATAATATGGCAGTATAGTGCAATACAATAACATAAAATACCAATATTGTGCTATGCTAGTAATATAATATATTATAGATACAGTATAATAATATAGTACAATATAATATATAATAATAGAATAATTGTATATTATATATTACGTGTAATATTACTAATAATATGGCAGTATAGTGCAATACAATAATATGAAATTATATTGTGCTATGGTAGTAATAGAATATAGATAGTATAATAATATAGTATAATATATAATAATATAATAATTGTACAATATATATTATGTGTAATATTACTAACAATATGGCAGTATACTGCAACACAATAATATAAAATACTAATATTGTGCTATGCTAATAATATAATATATTATAGCTACAGTATAATAATATAGTATAATATAATATATAATAATATAATAATTGTATATTATATATTACTAATAATATGGCAGTATAGTGCAATACAATAATATAAAATACTAATATTGTGCTATGCCAGTAATATAATATATTATAGATACAGTATAATAATATAGAACAATATAATATATAATAATATACTAATAATAATAATAATTGCATATTATATATTTCATATAATATTACTAATAATATGGCAGTATAGTGCAATACAATAATATAAAATACTAATATTGTGCTATGCTAGTAATATAATATATTATAGATACAGTATAATAATATAGTACAATATAATATATAATAATAAAATAATTGTATTTATATATTATGGGTAATTTTACTAATAATATGGCAGTATAGTGCAATACAATAATATAGTAATATATTATAGATACAGTATAATAATATAGTACAATATAATATATAATAATACAATAATTGTATATTATATATTACATGTATATTATATAGTATAGTACAATATAATATATAACATAATAATTGTATATTATATATTATGGATAATATTACTAATTATATTTCAGTACAGTGCAATAGAATAGTATAAAATACTAATATTGTGCTATGCCAGTAATATAATATATTATAGATACAATATAATAATATAGTAGAATATAATATATAATAATATAATAATTGTAGATTATATATTACGTGTAATATTACTAATAATATGGCAGTATAGTGTAATACAATAATATATAGCACTAAGATTGTGCTATGCTAATAATATATACAGTATAATATTTATTTATTATAATAATATTAATGTAATTCAAAATATAAATAAATAAATATTATATTTTTATTTATGTATATAAATATAAATAAATAAATATTATAAATATTTATTTATGTATATAAATATAAATAAATAAAATAATAATATAATATTTGCAGATGTAATAATATTATTATAACATATTAAATATTAAATAACATTGTATTAATATTATTTTTATTACTATTAAGTAATATGATATAATATTGAACGTCAAAGGACATTTAATATAATGCCAAGTTTTAAATGCATAACAACAACCTTTGGTTCGCTCCTGATACGATAAATTAATAAATAAAATAAAAATGAATGGATATAATCAGAATAATCTATAGTGGAGCTAGAGCAAACCCGGAAGTATCGCTTGCGTACAGGTGGGTTTGTCACTCTATCATGTGATGAACTCTGGCGCACAGTCGCGCGACCCGCTCCGATTGGTGGGGGTAACCAAAGGAGGAAGGATCCCGCGCCGCGATTGGACGCCTGCGCTGTCCATCATGTGCCTGTCTGATTCCTAGCCGGGGAAGTGTTGCCACGGCGCATGCGCTGTTGGTCCTCCTGTCAGGAGGCAAACATGGCGGCGGGAGGGTGCCGGTGTTGCTGCTGCTGCTGTTGTGGAGAAGAAAGGGGGAGCTGCACCCCGGAGGAGCTGGTGAGGGAGGAGCCCCCCGCAGGCCTGGGCCAACTTGGGCCCTCCTCACAGTGTTTTGGACTACAACTCCCACAATTCCTCACAACCTGGGCGTCCAAAACAGCTGGAAGAAGGCCCAAGTTGGCCCAGGCCCGAGAGACAGAGTCTGAGCATGCACAGAGTTCCTTGCCAATCCTCTGAGCATGTCAATAGTTCCTTTGGGAGTCTGACCATGCACAGAATTCCTTGCTAAACCTCTGAGCATGCACAGAGTTCCTTCCAAATCCTCTGAGCATGTCAAGAGTTCCTTTTAGGAGTCTGAGCATGCACAGAGTTCCTTGCTAAACCTCTGAGCATGCGCAGAGTTCCTTTTCCCTTTCACACCGTCCTCTGAGCATAGAAAGAGTTCCTTTGGGATTCTGAGCATGCGCAGAGTTCCTTGCTAATCCTCTGAGCATAGAAAGAGATTCTTTGGGATTCTGAGCATGCACAGAGTTCCTTGCTAAACCTCTATGCATGCGCAGTTCCTTTCCCCTTTGACTCAGTCCTCTGAGAATAGGGAGTCTGAGCATGCACAGAGTTCCTTTCCCTTGTCCTCTTGAGTATTTTCATTCTAATCTCCAGATGCTTTCCTTTTGGGTCCCTGTAATCCTCTGAGCATGCACAGAGTGCCTTCCTAATCCTCTGAGCATAGGAAGAGTTCCTTTGGGAGTCTGAGCATGCACAGAGTTTCTTGCTAAACCTCTGAGCATGCGCAGAGTTCCTTTCCCCTTTCACTCCGTCCTCTGAGCATAGGGAGTCTGAGCATGCACAGAGTTGCTTCCTAATCCTCTGAGCATATCAAGAGTTCCTTTGGGATTCTGAACATGCACAGAGTTCCTTTCCCCTTTCACTCACTCCTCTGAGCACATCAAGAGTTCCTTTGGGATTCTGAGCATGCACAGAGTTCCTTGCTAATCCTCTGAGCATAGAAAGAGTTCCTTTGGGATTCTGAGCATGCACAGAATTCTTTGCTAAACCTCTACGCATGCACAGAGTTCCTTTCCCCTTTCACTCAGTCCTCTGAGCATATCAAGAGTTCCTTTGGGAGTCTGAGCATGCACAGAGTTCCTTCCTAATCCTCTGAGCATAGAAAGCGTTCTTTTAGGAGTCTGAGCATGCACAGAGTTCCTTCCTAATCTTCTGAGCATGCACAGAGTTCCTGCCTAATCTTCTGAGCATAGAAAGAGTTCCTTTGGGAGTCTGATCATGTAGAGTTCCTTGCTAAACCTTTTTGCATGCGCAAAGTTCCTTTCCGCTTTCACTCCGTCCTCTGAGCATATCAAGAGTTCCTTTGGGAGTCTGGGCATGTGCAGAGGTCCTTGCTAAACCTCTGAGCATGTCAAGAGTTCCTTTGGGAGTCTGAGCATGTGCAGAGGTCCTTGCTAAACCTCTGAGCATGTCAAGAGTTCCTTTGGGAGTCTGAGCATGTAAAGTTCCTTGCTAAATCTCTACGCATGTGCAGAGGAACTCCTAAAGAGTTCCTTTAGGAGTCTGAGCATGTGCAGAGTTCCTTTCCCCTTTCACTCAGTCCTCTGAGTGTAGAAAGAGTTCCTATGGGAGTATAACCTCTGAGAATGCACAGCGTTGCTCTCCCCTGGTCCATGTTATCCTCTGAGCATGCATAACCCCCCCTCCCTTAGTCCCTCTTGTCCTCTGAACATGCACAGACTTCCTTTCTAATCCTCTGAGCATTGAAACAGTTCCTATGGGGGTCTAAACCTCTGAGCGTCCACAGAGTTGCTTCCTAATCCTCAGAGTTTAGAAAGAATTCCTTTAGGAGTCTGAGCACGCAGAGTTCCTTGCTAAACCTGTACGCAAGTGCAGAGTTCCTTTCCCCTTTCACTCGGTCCTCTGAGCATAGAAAGAGTACCTTTGGGAGTCTGAGCATGCATAGAGTTCCTTTCCCTTGTCAGCCGTTGCGGTCCGATGGATATGTTCTTTCTAGTCTCCAGGTGCTTTCCTTTTGGGTCCCTGTAATCCTCTGAGCATGCACAGAGTTCCCTTGCTAATTCTCTGAGCATAGAAAAGGTTCCTTTGGGAGACTGAGCATGTGCAGAGTTCCTTCCTAATCTTTTGAGTTCCTTTGGGCATCATAACCTCCCCCCTCCTTTTTTGGCCCCTGTTGTCCTCTGAGCATGCACAGAGTTCCTTTCCCTTTTCAGCCATTGCAGTCCTCTGAGCATGTTCATTCTAATCTCCAGATGCTTTCCTTTTGGGTCTCTATAATCCTCTGAGCATGTGCAGCGTTTCTTTCTAATCCCCTGAGCATACAAAACATTCCTTTAGAAGTCAAAGCCTGTGAGCATGCACAGAGTTCCTTCCTAATCCTCTGAGCATGTCAAGAATTCCATTGGGAATCTGAGCACGCACAGAGTTCCTTGGTAATCCTCTGAGAGTATAATGAGTTCCTTTGGGAGTCTAAACCTCTGAGCAGACACAGAGTTGCCCCCTCCCTCTTGGTCCCTGTTATCCTCTGAGCATGCACAGAGTTCCTTTCTAATCCTCTGAGCATATAAAGCGTTCCTTTAGAAGTCTAAGCCTCTGAGCAGTCACAGAGTTCCATTGGGAGTCAGAGCATGTACAGAGTTGTTCCTTTCTAGCGAAACGTCAGTATGGCTATTTTCCCATTAATGCATCAAAGTTTCTATTAATTACTCTAATTTTAATGCCCTTTTTTCCTTTTTCCAGACCATCCTTGGAGAAACAGAAGAAGAGGAAGGCGAGATCCTGCCCCGCAAGGACTATGAAGTAAGGAACTAAACGGAGGCCTCTGAGCATGCGCAGAGATGCCTTCCATTGGGATCCCTGTCATTCTGTCAGTCTTTCTTGTTGCTATTGCACTAAGCTGGGCCTCATATGGTGGCATGTATTTCACTATGCCAAGTGCAAACACTAATAATAATAATAATAATAATAATAATGTATTATTGATAATATTAGTAATAATAATGTTTCTTACCTCCATCTTCTTGTGGCTCAAAGTGGGTTAAAAACACATCATCACCGTAAATATTATATTAGTATTATTCACAATATATATAATACTAATAATTATTATTATATTTCTTTCCTGCCTCTTATTGTGGCTCGAGGAGCATTAAAAACACATAATCACCATAAATATTAATTAGTATTATTCACTATATATATATATACTAATTATTATTATATTTCTTTTCTGCCTCTTCTCAAGGCAGGTTAAAAAACACATCATCATTATAAATATTATATTAGCATTAACTATATATATATACACACACACACACACACACTAATAATAGTTAATAATAAAAATATTATTATTTTTCTTGCCTGTCTCTTTTTTTGGCTCAAGGACCGTTAAAAACACATCATCACCATAAATATTATATTAGTATTATTCACAATATATATATATTATAATACTAATAATTATTATTATATTTCTTACCTGCCTCTTCTTGTGGATCAAGGAGCGTTAAAATCACAGAATCACCATAAATATTATATTAGTATTATTCACAATATATATATTATAATACTAATAATAATAATATTTCTTACCCGCCTCTTCTTGAGGCTCAAGGAGCGTTAAAAACACATAATCACCATAAATATTATATTAGTATTATTCACAATATATATATATTATAATACTAATAATAATAATTATATTTCTTACCTGCCTCTTATCGTGGCTCAAGGACCGTTAAAAACACATCATCACCATAAATATTATATTAGTATTATTCACAATATATATATATTATAATACTAATAATAATAATTATATTTCTTACCTGCCTTCTTGTGGCTCAAGGAGCGTTAAAAACATATAATCACCATAAATATTATATTAGTATTATTCACAATATATATATTATAATACTACTAATAATTATTGTATTTCTTTCCTGCCTCTTATCGTGGCTCAAGGAACGTTAAAAACACATAATCGCCATAAATATTATATTAGTATTATTCACAATACAAAGATATATAAATAAATTATTATATTTTCTGCCTCTTCTCAAGGCAAGTTAAAAAAAACACATCATCATCATAAATATTATATTAGCATTACCTATATATATATACACACACACACACTATATACACACATTATCTATCTATTTATCTATACACACACACACACACACATCCACACATGCTAATAGTTATTATTATATTTCTTACCTGCCTCTTCTTGTGGCTCAAAGCGGGTTAAAAACACATAATCACCACAAATATTATATTAGTATTATTCACTATATATATATATATATATATATATATATATATAAGTACTCTCTTCTTGCATTACTTCTGACTTGTAAGTTAGTAACATCCCTACCTGGAAGTTTTGGAAGGCCTGGACAACAAGGTGAGTTCGAATAAGTGACAATATTGGAGGAAATAATCAATTTGGACTTTTGGTAGAGCAGAACGACAGCCATGTCTGAGACCATCAGATGTCAGATGTCAGAGTGAAGGCCATAACATGGTTAGAGTTCTGAAATTTTCATCACCAGAGCTTTAGCAACACTGTAGAAGCAAAGCACCACCTAGTTTTCACCACCAGAACTTTAGTTTTGTAAGTACTTTAGAACCATTTAGAACCATGGATTGCACATGCCTAATAGATAGATAGATAGATGGATGGATGGACGGAGGGATGGATTGGAAGATGGATGGCTAGATAGGTAGATAGACGGATGAGATAGATAGGTAGATAGATAGATGGATGGATGGATGGTAGGGATGATGGATGGATGATGGAGGATGGATGGATAGGTAGATGGAGGATGGATGGATGGATGGATGGATGGATGGATGGGATGGATGGTGGATGGAGGATGGATAAGAGACTAGATGGATGGAGGGATGTTGAAAGTTTGGTTAGAGTTCTGAAATTTTCACACCAGAACTTTAGTTTTGTAAGTACTTTAGAACCATTTAGAACCATGGATTGCCCAGCCCAATGATAGATAGATGGATGGATGGATGGATGGACAGAGGGATGGATTGGAAGATGGATGGCTAGATGGATAGGTAGATAGACGGATAGATGAATGGATAGGTAGATTAATAGATAGATGGATAGGTAGATGAATGGATGGGTAGATAGACAGATAGATAGATGGGTAAATGGATGGATAGTGTTGCTAAAGTTCTGGTGGTGAAAATTTAAGAACTCTTACAAAACTTTCAGTGTCATTATTATTTCATTATTTCATTATTGGTGATTTTTATGACAGAACCTATTAGGAACTGCCATTTATAATGAAATTTTGAAAGTTGTGTTAGAGTTCTAGACGGAGGGATGGATTGGAAGATGGATGGCTAGATGGATAGGTAGATAGGCGGATAGATGAATGGATAGGTAGATAGATTGATTGATAGATAGATGGATAGGTAGATGGATGGATGGGAAGATAGATAGATGGATGGATGGATGGATGGATGGATGGATGGGTAAATGGATGGATGGGTAAATGGATGGATAGTGTTGCTAAAGTTCTGGTGGTGAAAATTTAAGAACTCTTACAAAACTTTCAAAGTGTCATTATTATTTCATTATTGGTGATTTTATGACAGAACCACAGTAGAAGCAAAGCACCAGCGCCCTCTAGTTTTTGCCACCAGAACTTTAGTTTTGTGAGTACTTTAGAACCATTTAGAACCATGGATTGCACTTGCCTAATAGATAGATAGATGGATGGATGGACGGAGGGATGGATTGGAAAATGGATGGCTAGATGGATAGGTAGATAGATGGATAGATGAATGGATAGGTAGATAGATGGATAGGTGGATGGATAGGTAGATGGATGAATGGATGGATGGATGGGTAGATGGATGGATGGATGGACGGATGGATGGATTGTTATACTGATGTTAATGATTTATGTGATAATTGTTTTTAATTGCCCTATACTTGTTTTGTGATATTTTGTACTGATGTTGTTCACCACTTTGAGTTGCCTGAGGGCTGAGAAAAGCGGTATAGAAATAAAGTAAATAAATAAATAGGTAAATGGATGGATAGTGTTGCTAAAGTTCTGGTGGTGAAAATTTCAGAACTCTTACAAAACTTTCAAAGTGTAATTATTATTTCACCACCAGAGTTTTAGCAACACCGTAGACGCAAAGTACCAGCACCCCCTAGTTTTTGCCACCAGAACTTTAGTTTTGTAAGTACTTTAGAACCATTTAGAATCATGGATTGCACATACTTAATAGATAAAATAGATATACATAGACATAGATAGGATAGATAGAGTACATAGACCTAGGCAGGATTAATAGATAGGGTAGATAGATTGAATATCTAGAGATAGATAGGTTAGGCAGATAGATAGGAGAGAGAAAGAAATAGATAGGGTAGATAGATAAATAAGACAGAGTAGATATAGATAGAAAGAATGTTTGAAAAGATAGGTAGGTAGGTAGGCTAAGCACCCTCAAAGCCCCCCTCACAGATGGCCATCCACGTTTCTCCTCCTTCCTTTGCAGAAAGGCCGGCGCTACGAAGCGGTCAAGTGGACGGTGGTGTTTGCTATCGGGGTCTGCACTGGGCTGGTAAGGAGTAGGCTTCGCACCCGTTCTTGAGGCAACTGACCAACGCCTGGTTGTCTTTTGCATTCTTTCTATCGATATCTATCTTGTCTACCTATCCACCCTATCTATTGATCCTGTCTGTTTACTCTATCTATCCTATCTCTGTCTATCCACCCCATTTATTTGTTTGTTTATTTATTTATTTTATTTACGACATTGATATGCCGGCCTTCTCACCCTGAAGGGGTCTCAGAGCGGCTTACAAGTAAAAAGTAAATGCAATATACTATTATTATTATCATAGCACAATATTAATATTTGGAGCCCCCGGTGGCGCAGTGGGTTAAAGCACTGTGCTGGCAGGACTGAAGACCGACAGGTCGCAGGTTCGAATCCGGGGAGAGGCGGATGAGCTCCCTCTATCAGCTCCAGCTCCTCATGCGGGGACATGAGAGAAGCCTCCCACAAGGATGATAAAACATCAAAAATCATCCAGGCGTACCCTGGGCAATGTCCCTGCAGGCGGCCAATTCTCTCACAACAGGAGCGGTTGCTCCTGACACGACAAAAAAAAATTAATATTATATATTACACTAGCTGTACCCGCCACGCGTTGCTGCGGCCAACCTTTCCTCCCTCTTTCTCTCCTTTTCCCCCTTCCTTCACTCCCTCTTCTTTTCTTCCCTTTTTTTCTTTATTTCTCTCCCTTCCTTCTCTACCTCTTTCCTTTCTTCCCCTTTTTCTTTTCCTTCCCTTTCTCTCCTTCCTTCTCTGCCTCTTTCTTATGATTGTATGTTCATTAATACTTCTATCTTTATTTCCTTCTTCCTACCTTCATTACATTCACTTTTATTAATTTCTCTCCCTTATTCTATATTATACTAATTAATTCCTTCGCTAACCTTTATTTATTTCTATCCTCGACCTCCTTCTTTCTCTCTTTCTCCCCCTTCTCTTCTTTCCTTCTTTATCTCCTTCCTCCTTCTTTCCCTCCTTCCTTCTCTACCCTTCTTTCTTCCTTCATTCTCTCCTTCTCTCTTCCTCTCCCTCCTCTCCTTCCTTCCTTCTCTATCCTTCTTTTTCCTTCCTTCTCTCCTTCCCTCCTTCTTCTCTCCCTCTTGCTCTTCCTCCTTCCTTTTCTACCTTTCTCTTTACTTCTTTCGCTCCTTCCCTCCTCCTTTGCCCTCCTTCCTTCTTTCTCTACCCTTCTTTTTTCCTTCCTTCTCTCCTTCCTTCCTCCTTTCTGTGTATGTGTTTTGCGTATGTGTATATACATATATTTGTGTATATATGTGTGTTTGTGTATATATATACAGCGCATGCGTTGTAATGTATTTTTGGGGTTTTTTGGCTTTTTAAGTCCCTTCTGCTGTGTTTTTCAGTGTTTTTATGAGTGATGGTCACTCGTCGGCCTGAGAGGTGTCTTGTGTCCAAATTTGGTGTCAATTCGCCCAGTGGTTTTTGAGTTATGTTAATCCCACAAACAAACATGACATTTTTATTTATATTATATTATATTATATTATATTATATTATATTATATTATATTATATTATAAGGACAGTGCAGGAGACAAGATGGAACTGCCTTCCTGGCCTCTATCTATCTATCTATCTATCTATCTATCTTATCTATTTATTTATTTATTTATTTATTTATTTACTGTATTTGTATACCACCTTTCTCAGCCAATTGGTGACTCAAGGCAGTTTCCAACAAATCAGTATTCATAAAACTTAATAGATTAAAAACATTAAACAGTATAAGACATCACAAAAGCAATAAAAGCAACATCATCAGTGTCTCATTATTCTCAAGCATTGTCTAATTCCATTGTCAGGTCATTCGATTTCCTATATTAGCTACTCTGTATTTGTAAACGCGGAAGAGACCTCATGGGCCATCCAGTCCAACCCCATTCTGCCAAGAAGCAGGAATATTGCATTCAAATCACCCCTGACAGATGGCCATCCAGCCTCTGTTTAAAAGCTTCCAAAGAAGGAGCCTCCACCACACTCCGGGGCAGAGAGTTCCACTGCTGAACGGCTCTCACGGTCAGGAAGTTCTTCCTCATGTTCAGATGGAATCTCCTCTCTTGTAGTTTGAAGCCATTGTTCCGCGTCCTAGTCTCCAAGGAAGCAGAAAACAAGCTTGCTCCCTCCTCCCTGTGGCTTCCTCTCACATATTTACACATGGCTATCATATCTCCTCTCAGCCTTCTCTTCTTCAGGCTAAACATGCCCAGCTCCTTAAGCCGCTCCTCATAGGGCTTGTGCTCCAGACCCTTGATCAAGTAGGCAGTCATTATTCTCGAGCATTGTCCAATTCCATTGTCAGGTCATTCCATTTCCTATATTCGCTACTCTGTATTTGTAAATGCTTGCTCGAATAGCCACGTTTTAACTTGCCTCTGAAACGTCAAGAGGGAGGGAGCAGATCTGATCTCCCTAGGGAGGGCGTTCCATTGCCGAGGGGCCACCACTGAGAAGGCCCTGTCTCTCGTCCCCGTGACACAGGCGGGACTGAGAGCAGGGCCTCCCCAGATGATCTTAATGTCCTAGCTGGTTCATAGGAGGAGATGCGTTCGGACAGGTAAGTTGGGCCAGAATCGTTTAGGGCTTTATAGGCTAATGCCAGTACTTTGAATTGTGCCCCGGTAGCAAACTGGCAGCCAGTGGAGCTGGCGCAACAGAGGAGGTTGTATGCTCCCTGAGTTCGCTGGCTAGTTTGAAGTTTCCAGGGACTATCTCACCGGCACCACGTAGAGAGGCAGCGCATCAGTCTACCGAGGTGGGAACTTAAAGCGTTGAGAATACGGGTCCAGTCTCGCACTCCCAAGGTCTGTGCGCCGCTATTCATTTGTGCTCCTTTGACGCAGGGAAAGCAAACTTGAGGGCTTCTTGAACCTCCTCTTTCCACCTCTCTTTTACAGGTGGGGTCTTTTGGACTCTCGATGGGATTTACCGCATTCAAGGTCACTGTACAAAACTGCCCTTTGCTGCTTTGGGCCTCCATAGAGAGTTCTCCTTCCAAGGGTTCCTCCCCAGGGACATCTAGTCACCCAGAATTCCAAAGTCCCAGGTTTGTCGCGTGTGCAGTTGCGCGTGGTTTCTTGTGTTAGCTTCCTTTAGTTGCTTTTTGCCGCCTGGTTTTTTTTTTGGAGCTGCCTTTCCCTCTTTTTCTGCTCTCGTTGTTTCCTCTTTCTCCGCCACTGCCCCTCTCTATCTGGCCTCCCTGTCCCCCTCTTGGTTGTGTCTCCTCCCACATTGTTCCCCTCTTCTTTGGATTTTTTTTTTAACTCACCACCCCTTTCTCCCCTCCGTCCTCTTCCGACCTTGTTTACACAAATTCGAACATCGTTGTTCCTCAACGTGTCCGGCCCCCCACACACATCCACCCCCCCCCTCCCCCCCCCCCTCAGACGGCCTACAAAACCGGATTCCGACGGCTACACCAGCTTTCTCTTCCCCCGCGAGGGTCTCTCTGTTCCACTTCCCCCATTCTAACGCCCCATATGCACCCACAGCCTACCACTCCCGCCCCGGGCAACCCCCCGCCGACTATAGCGAAACAGTACACGCACTCGACGCCCGCCGATTTCGACGATAAGGCATTAAATCCGCTCGCTGCTCTCCCCACAACTCCGACCTTGTTGCCACCAGTGAGAGTCCACCGCACCCCTCGCCGCGCCACCCCCCCCCCACCCCACACACACCCACAACCAGTAGGTGACACGCGTGCACACCCCCCCACAACCCACCCCCCCAGCCGCCACCCCCCACCTCATCCACCGCTTCCCACTGCTCGTCACTACCACAATGAACGCTGACTCCGAACTCTTCACCCCATCTCTCTCTGCCCCATCCAAAACAAAAAGTATTTTTAGAAGATATTCAAAAATGGAAAATTAACCCAAAACTGGCCCTGATGTACAGCTAACACAGCCACGAGACAGGGCAAATGAGAGCACACAACAACAGAAGAGTCTTTTCTTTTTTTGGAATATTTTTTGTATTTTTTAAAGAATAAAAGGCAGGTATTTTTAGAAAATATTCAGAAATGGAAAATTAACCCAAAACTGGCCCTGATGTGGACCAAACACAGCCACGAGGCAGGACAAACGAGAGCACACACCAACAGAAGAGTCTTTTCTTTTTTAGAATATTTTTTGTATTTTTTAAGAATAAAAGGCAGGTATTTTTAGAAAATATTCAAAAATGTAAACTTAACCAGAAACTGGCCCTGATGAACAGCTAACACAGCCACGAGACAGGGCAAGTGAGAGCACACACCAACAGAAGAGTTCTTTTTTTGGAATATTTTTTGTATTTTTTTAAGAATAAAAGGCAGGTATTTTTAGAAAATATTCAAAATGGAAAATTAACCAAAAACTGGCCCTGATGTGGACCAAACACAGCCACGAGACAGGGCAAGTGAGAGCACACACCAACAGAAGAGTATTTTCTTTTTTAGGAATATTTTTGGTTTTTTTTAAGAATAAAAGGAAGGTATTTTTAGAAAATATTCAAAAATGGAAAATTAACCAAAAACTGGCCCTGATGTACAGCTAACACAGCCACGAGACAGGGCAAGTGAGAGCAAACACCAACAGAAGAGTCTTTTCTTTTTTAGAATATTTTTTGTATTTTTTTAGAATAAAAGGCAGGTATTTTTAAAATATTGAAAAATGCAAAATTAACCCAAAACTGGCCCTGATGAACAGCCAGCTAACACAGCCAAAAGACAGAGCAAACACCAACAGAAGAGTCTTTTCCAAGAGCCAACCCAATGCAAGTCTTCCTACCCAAGCCTTAGCAATAGCCAACCCAAAGCAGCAAGCAAGCAGCCCTCCCGAACCTCTCTCCTCCCTCGCCTCCGCGCAACAGAGCTCTGCGGCCACGCGGAGCCGCTTTTAAAGGCCTTGCCGGCCAATCAAAATCAGCCACGGTGCTTGGGAGCGCCGGATTGGCTCCCAGGCACCAGCATCCTCCATCCAATTTCCGAAACGGGCGGAAGCTCGTTAAAAGGATGGGGGATGCCGCTTCGATATTTTAAAACCCTTCCGGGTTTGAAAAAGTGTTTTGATATCGCCTCGTAAATGCCAAAAATAACGAATGTTTAACGAATAACGAAATTAACGAACGAAACCGCACAGGCCTAATTATTATTCCTTTCATGGGTTTGAGTTATCGTTTCCTATTTCAGTTGTAATGTATTTAAAAAACCACAATGTTAAAAAACTTGGCATTATGTTAAATGTCCTTTGATTAGTAGCTGGCCACTTGAAGTGCCTCTGGTGTTGCTATAAGAAGGTTCTCCATTGTGCATGTGGCTGGGCTCAGGCTGCATTTTAATAGGTGTCCTGTTGTTTGCTCTTCTCCACACTTGCATGTTGTGGACTCTACTTTGTGGTCCCATTTCTTAAGGTTGGCTCTGCATCTCGAGGTGCCAGAGCGCAGTCTGTTCAGCGCCTTTGCCCAGTTTTCTGTGTTCCCAGGAGGGAGTCTCTCATTTGGTATCAGCCATAGATTGAGGTTCCAGGTTTTAGCCTGCCACTTTTGGGCTCTTACTTGCTGAGGTGTTCCAGCGAGTGTCTCTGTAGATCTTAGAAAACTATTTCTTGATTTAAGTTGTTGACGTGCTGGCTGATACCCAAACAGGGGATGAGCTGGAGATGTCTCTGCCTTGGTCCTTTCACTATTGGCTGCTACTTCCCGGCGGATATCAGGTGGTGCAATACCGGCTAAGCAGTGTAATTTCTCCAGTGGTGTAGGGCACAGACACCCCGTGATAATGCGGCATGTCTCATTAAGAGCCACATCCACTGTTTTAGTGTGGTGTTCCACACTGGGCATGCATACTCAGCAGCAGAGTAGCACAGCGCAAGGGCAGATGTCTTCACTGTATCTGGTTGTGATCCCCAGGTTGTGCCAGTCAGCTTTCGTATGATATTGTTTCTAGCGCCCACTTTTTGCTTGATGTTCAGGCAGTGCTTCTTGTAGGTCAGAGCACGGTTCAGAGTGACTCCCAGGTATTTGGGTGCGCTGCAATGCTCCAGTGGGATTCCTTCCCAGGTGATCTTCAGATCTCGGGATGCTTCTCTGTTCTTAAGATGAAAGGCACATGTCTGTGTTTTGGATGGGTTGGGGATCAGCTGGTTTTGGAGCCGATGAAGTGAAATATCTAGAGCAGGGGTCCTCAAACTTTTTAAACCGGGGGCCAGTTCACTGTCCCTCAGACCCTTGGAGGGCGGGACTATAGTTTTTTTTAAAAAAAATCAATAAAAAAAATGCCTATGCACATTGCACATATCTTATTTTGCTGTGTGGAAGGGCCCTTAGAGGGGGTTCTTTCTAGCCCTCTTTAGGCAGTAATTCCAGGAGCAGAGAATGGGAAATCTTCCTATTTCTAGTCTGAACAAAATCTGGCGACCAGTATTAAAAAAACTCTAAAATGATAACTGTAAATAAAGAACAACACTCAAACACAGGGGAACTCCAGACAAGAAACAATCAGGGCCAGCTAATCACCTCTCAACAAAGGATTCTCCCTAAAAACTGTCAGGCTATGAAATGGTAATCAAGGTGGCCAATTGAAACATTCATACCTACCTCCAACAGACAAGAGTTCTTTCTCCCACCCTGGATCTTCCACAATTTTCCTAGTTAAAGGTTTTCCTCTGACATGAAGTCCAGTTGTGTCTGACTCTGGGGTGTGGTGCTCATCTGCATTTCTAAGTGGAAGAGCTGGGGTTGTCCGTAGACACCTCCAAGGTCATGTGGCCGGCATGACTGCATGGAGCGCCGGGGCAGCCTCCCTTGGCTGGCTCACGCTGCCCATCGGGCCTGATGGATAGCGTGAGCCTGCCAAGGGAGGAGCAGCCCCGAGCAGCCTACTCGTGCATAAAGCACCTCGCAAGATGCTTTACAGCAGCCCAATGCGGCCTACTCACGCGTAAAGCACCTCGCGAGGTGCTTTACGTGCGAGTAGGCCATGCGGAGCAGCTGCCCTTGGCTGGCTCACGCTGCCCATCGGGCCTGATGGATAGCGTGAGCCAGCCAAGGGAGGGCACTGTGTGGGGGGGGGGGGCGCTCCTCCTCTGCGGGCCGGATAAGTGCCCTTGGCGGGCCGGAAGTGGCCCGCGGGCCGTAGTTTGGGGACCCCTGGCTTAGACTGTATTAATCATAGAGAAGTTGTTCTTTGGCAGCTGACATGCCTTCGATGTTGATTGAGATTATTTTCATGGTTGGTCCTGAAAAGGACCGTTGGTTGTTTTGCTTGCTTGCTTGCATGCTGCAAGTCGCTTCTGTAGCGAGAGAATCAGCCGTCTACAAAGATGTTGTCCAGGGGACGCCCGGATGTCTTGCAAACCTGCGAGGAGGCTTCTCTCATGTCCCATAGATATATAGAAATATAGAAATTAGATGTGTTAGATTATATATATATAACTTGCTGTATATTAAATATATATATATATATATATTAGAGATAATATATGTAGATAGATAGATATAGATATAATATATATATATTAGAGATAATAGATAAATTATATCTAATAGATATTAGAGATAATAGATATTAGATATAATATATAATAGATAAAGATAGTATAGATATATAGGGAGAGATATATAGATCTTGCTTTGCTTCTCAAGATGACCTTCTTTTTTGTGTCCACAGCCAGAGGCGGCCGGCTCTGGGATCCCTGAAATCAAGTGCTACTTGAATGGCGTGAAGGTCCCGGGGGTCGTGCGCCTGCGGACCCTTCTCTGCAAGGCCCTGGGGGTGCTCTTCAGCGTGGCTGGAGGTGAGGGCGGCATCTACACTGCAAGAGGGGGGCAGTTTGGTACCACTTTGAACGCCGATAGTTATGCCGGGCACCAAGGTTTGGCCAGGCACTGGCACTCTTTGGCAGAGAAGGTGCACATTGTTTACATGTAACTTGCTGTATATTAAATAAAGCTAAAATGGAAAAATATAGACTCCTGACAGACTCCCTGACTGAGCTAGCGTGGGTGGTCTCGGACCTGGCGTTGGAGTCCCAACGGCTGCTTGTGCTGGGGGACTTCAATGTCCATGCCGAGACGCTATGGGCGGGCTCATGAGTACAGGAACCAGGGGGGGTCAAAGGATGCCCAACAAGGTGGTCCTAAGTCGGTGAGGGTGGGCGGAAAGGTGGCGATGTGCGGAGCCGTGTCCCCTCATCTCTCCTCCTCCTTTTCCCCCTTTTCTGCTGTCTCTCTTTTCTTTTCCTTCCCTCTTTTCTTTCTTTTCCTTCTCTCCTCTCTCCTTTTCTCTCTTTCTTTCCTTCTCCTCTTTCACTTTTTTTTTTTCTTTTCTCTCTTTCTTTCTTTCTCTTCTTCTTTTCTCTTTACCTCTTTCCTTCCCCTCCTTTTTTTTTTCTCCTCTTCTTCTCCACCTTTCCTTCTTTCCTTCCCCTTCCTTTCTTTCTCTTTCCTTCTCTTTTCTTCTTTTTTTTCTTTTATGTGAACTGTCGTGCTGTCCTTCTTCGTCGCACTTCTCCCGTATGCCTTTTTCCATTCTTCTTTTCTTTTGTTCTTTTTTTTTTTTTTTCCATTTTCCTCCTTTTCCCCCTTTCTCCCCCTTTCCCCATCTTTCCCCCGATTACCGGTTCCTTCCGCACTTTTGTACCTTCCTTCTTATTGTGCTCTTGTGCCTTCCCTTTCTTTTCACGGTCCGTGTTTGATCTTCTCTAATGTCTTTTACTCTTTCATTTTTTCTATCGCCCTTGTGGCATGGTTTTCTTCTCGTTCGTACGTCGGACTCCCCTTGCCTCTCCTCTATGCCACACCCTGCCTTGGGAATGCCTGCGGCCTCGGGTTTGGGACCGGCCGTGGCAGTTGTCGCCATCCGGGGCCCGGCAGTCGGTGATGGGCTATTCTGCTTCCCCCCATACATTGTTGTTTGCATTGTTCACTCCGCTGTCCCACTCTGTCGTGCGCAGCTACTGAGGGTCAGTCTTCTGCCTCGCTCGGCCGTCCTCGTCTCGAGGATGTCGAGGTTTCCCTGTTCTCGTGGTTTGCTTTTGTTTCCAACCTTTCACTGCTCCCAATCGCCGACGTCCTTAGTCTTATTGCCATGATCTTCCACTTTTGCCTCTGTCCTTTCTCATATCATTTGCCCGTTTGTTTCTCTCCCTTAGTTGCCCGCTATTCTGCTCGGTCCAGGGTCGCTCCTTCAATTGGCAATGTGATTTGTCCTTCCCTCCCTGTCAGCGTTACCTCGCATCGTCCTCTATTGTGTGTCTTCCGTTTCTAGCCCACTCGTCCAGGTCTTCTTACCTCCTTCATTCCTTCTTCTTTCCTTCCTTCTCTTTTTTTCTTTCTTCCTCCTTTCTTCCTTCTCCCTTCTTTCCCTTTGGCCCCTTTCCCTTTCCTTTTTTTTCTTTCCCTTCTTTTTCACCTTGCTCCCTTCCTTCCTCTTCTCTTCTTTTTCCTCCTCACTTTCACTTTTTTCCCTCCTCTGCTTCTTATCCTTGTGGTATCTGTCCGCTTCTTTCGCCATATATGGCTCTTGTCACATCCTTGCGTTGTCCTTCAAATGCCACTGTCCCCTTTTCCCTCATCTTCTCTGTTCTCCTGGTCCGTACCCCCAATCAACCTCAAACACCTCCCCTCTCTCCTTCTTCACTCGCCTTTCCTTCCCCTACTCGTTCTCATTCATCACTTTCTCTACTCTTTTTCCGTCTTCTATTTTCTTTTTCCTCCCACCCCCCCCAATTCCCTCCCTCCCCCAACTTTCCTTCCCCTACCAACATCATCTATTCCCCTCTCATTGGTTCTTTCTCCAATATTTCTCTTCTCGTTCTTTGAAAAGCCCTTCTTCTTCTTCCCTCCCCCCCCCCACCTCTTTTCTCTCTCGTCCCTCCGTCTCCCCCCGCCTCCATTCCTTTCCCCCATCACCCCCCACTGTCATCCCCACCTTTTTCTCAACTCTCCCCCTTAATAACCCCGCCTTCTCCTGCATACCCACCAATCTCTCGACCCTATCCATATATTTTTACCCCCATCATCCTTCCCCCCCTCTCCCCCCCCTCCCTCTATTTCCCCCCTCCTCTCCCTTTCTTCCCCTTTCCCCCCCCCCCATTTCTCCTCCCCCTTTTCTCTTTCCCCTGTCTGTCTGTGAAGTTTTTTTCTATTTTCTCCTTTTTGCCCTTTCTTCTCTTCTCCCCTCCCTCCCTTCCCTTCTTCCCTTCCCTCCCTCCCTCCCCTTCCACCTTTCCTTCCTTTCCCCTTCCCTTCCTCCCTCCTCATTTCCCTTCCCTCCCTCCCTTCTATCCCTCCTTCTTTCCTTCCTCCCTTCCATCCTTCCTTCCTTCTCGTTCTTCCCTTCTTTCCCTCCTTCTTTCCTTCCTCCCTCCCTTCCCTCCTCCCTTCCTTCTTTCCTTCTCTTGCCGCCTCCCCCCCCCCTCTTCCTTCCTCCTTCCTCCACCTCACCTTTCTTTCTTTCCTTCTCTCCCTCTTTCTCTCCTCCTTCTCTCCTTCCTTCCCTATTTACACCGCTGCTCGATTAGTTGTCGTGCTCTCGAGAGGGGTGTAGCGTGCGAGTTCCTATGAAGATGCTCTTAGAGTCAGCCCCCTCTCACCATGTTATGTGTCCCCTTCCCCTTTCTTCCTTCCTCCTCTACGACGAAGCCTGTATCTTCTGGCTGTTGCACTACCCGAAAATTTTTGGGGGTTCCCCTCTGTTTGATGTGTGTCTGTCTTCGATATATGTCCCGTGACGTATGTTATCTGCCGTTGAGTGCGTAAAAGAGTGCAACAGGGCACCCCGATGAATAGGAGAGGCATTACCTTGCATGCGACTCTCTTTGGGTGGTGGTGTGGCTGGTGAATGAGCCGCTCACCGTGTTGGTTGGGCGTTTAGGTCAACGACGTATGGATTCGAGGCTTTTCGTTCCACGCCGGAGTGATCTACCCTTCCCATACCGCTTTGTTTTGCTTTCGTTATTTTCCTTTTCTTTTTTGGCCCGGCGATTAGGGTGTTCAGTCCCCTGTCTCCTACTTCTGATGCGCAGAGACCCCACAACGCCCTGCCGGTGGGTCTAAGTTGTTCACTCCTGCCGTTCCGTTACGACGTAGGAGTGTGCAGAGAGGGTGTCACGTACCACGGTCCTTCTCACGTTTTTGGCACCGGGCCTTCTCCTCTGTACTCTTTAGGGGTCTCTCATAGTTGCGTGAAACCAGCAAGCAGCTGGGATACGATATGTGAAACCCACCCCAAATCGTCAGTTATTGGTATATCTGGTTGTGTTGAGGGCTGGGTTGATAAAGTCATCCAGGCACTCTCTGGGCAAACATTACCTGTCTTATAATCTAACTCTTCCTTTCAGCTCGCTTTTCTTGGCTCCCACGTTCCAAGCTCTTTTAAGAAAAGAATCTCGGTTCAACTTCCCTACTTTCCGCAGCGGAACGGTATGCAAAGAAATAGGAATAATAGAATCAAAATCATAGACTTAGGAGAGTTCTTACCCACCCCTTGCTCATCTATATAAATAAAAATGTAATGTTCGTTTGTGGTATTAACACAAATCAAAAACCACTGGGGGAATTGACACCAAATTTGGACACAAGAAATCTAACAACCCATTGTATGTTTTTCACTAAAAAAATGATTTTGTCATTTGAGAGTTGTAGTTGCTGGGATTTATAGTTCACCTACAATCAAAGAGCATTCTGAACCCCACCAACGATGGAATTGAACCAAACTTGGCACAGTTCTCCCATGACCAACAGAAAATACTGGAAGGGTTTGGTGGGCAGTGTCCTTTGGTTTTGGAGTTGTAGTTCACCTACATTCAGAGATCACTGTGGACTCAAACAATGATGGATCTGGACCAAACTCTACACGAATACTCAATATGCCCAAATGTGAACACTGGTGGAGTTTGGGGAAAATAGAATCTTGACATTTGGGAGTTGTAGTTGCTGGGATTTGTTGTTCACCTACAATCACAGAGCATTCTGAACCCCACCAACGATAGAATTGGGCCAAACCTCCCACACAGAACCCCCATGTGGGCCACAGCAACGTGTGGCAGGGGACGCATAGTATATAATAATACAATACATTTCCAACTCTAGGAAACTATAGAAGTATTTAAACACAGGCTGGATGGCCATCTGTTGGGAGGGGTTGCATGGTGTCTTCCTGTGTAGTTGAATGGGGCTGGGACTGGGTGTCCTTTGGAGGTTTCTATGATGATAATAATAATAATAATAATAATAATAATAATAATAATAATAATAATAATAATAGTAATGTATATTATTATTATTATTTAGGGGTTGGACTGAATGGCCTTTGGGGGTCCCTTCCAATGCTAGTTTAATATTAATAATAATAATAATAATAATAATAATAATAATAATAATAATAATAATACTAAATATTATTTGGGGGCTTTGGGGGCCCCTTCCAATGCTAGTTGAACAATAATAATAGATAATAATAATAGATAATAATGGTTAGTAATGTAATAGTAATGCTGTCTTCTTGCCTGGCAGGTAGAAGGGGGTTGGACTGGATGGCCTTTGGGGGTTCCTTTGAATTTAGTGGACTCTTTTGGGGGCTCACTGACCCCTCAGGCTTTGCTTCGTAGGGACAAAAGGGACTTTGTCTCGGCCGGAGCAGCAGCCGGGGTGGCAGCGGCCTTTGGGGCTCCCATTGGTGGGACACTCTTCAGCCTGGAAGAAGGATCTTCCTTCTGGAACCAAGGCCTCACCTGGAAAGTGGTAAGGGGCCCAAACAGAACACAACATTGTTGTTGTTGTTGTTGTTGTTTGTTTATCTGCCGATTTAACCCTTTCTCTCCTTCGCAGCTCTTCTGCTCCATGGCGGCCACCTTCACGCTCAACTTCTTCCGTTCTGGGATCCGCTTTGGAAGTTGGGGCTCCTTCGAGTTGCCGGGGCTGCTCAACTTCGGGGAGTTCAAGGTGTGCAGCAGTAAAGGGCATCCGGGGTTGGATGGCCATCTGTTGGGAGGGCTTGGATGGTCCTTTTCCTGCATGAAGGCAGAAAGAAGGGGGTTGGACTGCATGACCATTGTTGGTCCCTTCCAGGTCCACGATACTGTTGTTGCCCACCATGTTGTTGTTATTAATCAGGGGTTGGATGGCCATCTGTCGGGAGGGCTTGGATGGTCCTTTTCCTGCATGAAGGCAGAAAGAAGGGGGTTGGACTGCATGACCATTGTTGGTCCCTTCCAGGTCCACGATACTGTTGTTGCCCACCATGTTGTTGTTATTAATCAGGGGTTGGATGGCCATCTGTCGGGAGGGCTTGGATGGTCCTTTTCCTGCATGAAGGCAGAAAGAAGGGGGTTGGACTGCATGACCATTGTTGGTCCCTTCCAGGTCCACGATACTGTTGTTGTCCACCATGTTGTTGTTGTTGTTATTAATCGGGTTGGATGGCCGTCTGTTGGGAGGGCTTGGATGGTGCTTTTCCTGCATGAAGGCAGAAAGAAGGCCACTATTGCGTCTGCAAAGAACCGTCCGGCTGAGCTGTTCCGAATTGTCAGAGGCCTTTTAAATCCCACCACTCAAGGTGGGTGCCCTGATGACTCGGCAGCTCGCTGTGAAGCTTTTGCTCAGTTCTTTGCAGACAAAGTCGCTTTGATCCGTTCTGGTCTGGATACCATGTTAATGGCAGTCTCTGAGGATGTAACACGAGCACCTGCTTGTCCAGTTTTGATGGATTCATTTCAATTGGTGAAACCCGAGGATGTGGACAAGATACTTGGAGGAATGAGGCCAACCACATGCATCCTGGACCCCTGCCCATCCTGGCTTCTAAAGGAGGCCAGAGGGGGATTGGCTGAGTGGGTTAAGGTGGTGGTTAATGCTTCCCTTCGGGAAGGCAAGATTCCAGCAAGCTTAAAACAAGCTATAATAAAACCGCTGTTGAAAAAACCATCACTGGACCCCACTAAATTCGACAACTATCAGCCAGTTTCCAATCTTCCCTTTTTGGGCAAAGTCCTGGAACGTGTGGTGGCCTCACAACTCCAGGTATTCTTGGTAGACACGGATTATCTAGAGTCTGGCGCAGTCTGGCTTTAGGCCGGGACATGGTACCGAGACAGCCTTGGTCGCCTTAGTGGATGATCTGCGCCGGGAGCTCGACAGGGGGAGTGTGTCCCTGTTGGTGCTGCTGGACCTCTCAGCGGCCTTCGATACCGTCGACCACGGTATCCTTCTGGGACGCCTCGCAGGGATGGGTCTTGGAGGTACTGTTTTGCAGTGGCTCCGGTCATTCCTGGAGGGTCGAGCTCAGAAGGTGTTGTTGGGGGACACCTGTTCAACCCCACAACCATTGTCTTGTGGGGTTCCTCAGGGCTCAATATTGTCTCCCATGTTGTTTAACATCTACATGAAGCCGCTGGGGGAGATCATCCGGAGTTTCGGGGTAGTGTCATCTGTACGCGGATGATGTCCAACTCTGTCACTCCTTTCCACCTGCTACTAAGGAGGCTGACGAGGTCCTGAACCGGTGCTTGGCCGCTGTGACGGTCTGGATGGGCGAACAAATTGAAATTGAATCCAGACAAGACAGAGGTACTCCTGGTCAGTCGTAAGGCCGAACAGGGCATAGGGTTACAGCCTGTGTTGGATGGGGTTACACTCCCCCTGAAGATGCAGGTTCGCAGCTTGGGAGTGATCCTGGATTCATCGCTGAGCCTGGAACCCCAGGTTTCGGCGGTGACCAGGGGAGCATTTGCACAGTTAAAGCTTGTGCGCCAGCTGCGCCCGTACCTTGGGAAGTCTGACTTGGCCACGGTAGTCCACGCTCTGGTTACATCCCGTTTAGACTACTGCAACGCTCTCTACGTGGGGTTGCCTTTGAAGACAGCTCGGAAGCTCCAACTAGTCCAACGCTCGGCAGCCATGATTTTAACAGGAGCGGAGCGCAGGGAGCATACAACCCCCCTGTTGCGCCAACTCCACTGGCTACCGATCTGCTACCGGGCTCAATTCAAAGTGCTGGCGTTGGCCTTTAAAGCCCTAAACGGTTCCGGCCCAAGCTACCTATCTGACCGCATCTCTGCCTATGAACCCACCAGGACTTTGAGATCTTCTGGGGAGACCCTGCTCTCGATCCCGCCTGCTTCTCAAGCTCGGCTGGCGGGGACGAGAGATAGGGCCTTCTCGGTGGTGGCTCCTCGGCTGTGGAAAGCCCTTCCTACGGACATTAGACTAGCACCATCTCTAATGGTATTCCGCAAAAAGGTGAAGACCTGGATGTTTGTGCAGGCGTTTGAGTAATTTAGTGCAATCTGGTAATGGAACATAGGAATGGAACAATGGACGACGAACCTGGACTACGCTTGGATGATGAGAAGATTGGGTACGGTTGTTTTTGTAATAATTGTGCATTGTAATTGCTTATTGGTAATTTATGGATAATGTGTTAAGTCAATTGTTATATGTTGTATGGAACCACTGCTGTTTCTACTGTTTTTACTGTTTGTGAACCGCTGTGAGTCGCCTTCGGGCTTGAGATACAGCGGTATATAAGCAAAGTAAGTAAGTAAATAAATAAATAAATAAATAAATAAATAAATAAAGAAGGGGGTTGGACTGGATGGCCTTTAGAGTTCTCTCTTGACTTGTTATGAAGAACATGACTTGTTATGACTTGTTGTGAAGAAGAAGCCAAATGGGCATCTGTTGGAAGGGCTTGGATGGTGCTTTTCCTGCATGAAGGCAGAAAGAAGGGGGTTGGACTGGATGGCCTTTGAACTCTTAGGAGAATAATAATAATAATAATAATAATTATTATTATTATTATTATTATTTATAATTATTCCTAGATGCTTGGGAAGTGTTTGACTTGTGATTTTGTGATACGAAATCCAGCATATAGATCTTGTTTGCTGTGACATACTGTGCTTTGGGTGTCAATAATAATAATAAGAAGAATAATTTATAGTAATGGATAATAATATAATAGTAATTCCATCTTTTTCCTGCCTGGCAGAGAGAAGGGGTTGGACTGAATGGCCTATGGGGTCCCTTCCAACTCTATAATAATAATAATAATAATAATAATAATAATAATAATAATAATAATGGATAATAATAGTAATTTCCTGTCTTCTTGACTGACAGAAGGAGGTTGGACTGGATGACCTCATAATAATAATAATAATAATAATAATAATAATAGATTATGATATAATAGTAATTCTATCCTCCTGACTGGCAGAATGGGTTTGGGCTGGATGGCCTCTGGGGTCCCTTCTAACTCTACAATAATAATAATAATAATAATAATAATAATAATAATAATAGATTATGATATAATAGTAATTCTATCCTCCTGACTGGCAGAATGGGTTTGGGCTGGATGGCCTCTGGGGTCCCTTCTAACTCTAATAATAATAATAATAATAATAATAATAATAATAATAATAATAATAATCTTTATTTATAACCCACCACCATCTCCCCAAAGGTGGACTCGGGGTGGCTAACATGAGGCCAAGCCCAAAACAATGCAACATGATTAAACACGAGATAGACAATAATAATAATAATAATAATAATAATAATAATAATAATAATAGATAATAGATAATATAATAGTAATTCTATCATCCTTCCTGGCTGAAGGGGGTTGGACTGGATGGCCTTTGGGAGTCCCTTCCAACTCTATAATAATAATAATAATAATAATAATAATAATAATAATAATAATAATAGATAATAATAGAATAGTCTTCCTGGCTGAAGGGGGTTGGACTGGATGGCCTTTGGGAGTCCCTTCCAACTCAATAATAATAATAATAGTAATAGTAATAATAGTAATAATAATAATAGTAATAATAATATTAATAATAATAATAATAATCGGTAATAGATAATAATAGAATAGTAATTCTATCATCCTTCCTGGCTGAAGGGGGTTGGACTGGATGTCCTTTTGGATCCCAATTCTAAGATAGTAGTAGTACTAGTAGTAGTAATAGTCCCAACTCTTAAGATAATAATAATAATAGATGCGAAATCCAGCATATAGATCCTGTTTGCTCTGACATACTGTATTTTGTGTCAATAAAATAATAATAATAATAATAATAATAATAATATATTCTATCTTACTTCCTGGCACAAGGGGGATGGACTAGATGGCCTTTGCAGTCTCTTCCAACTTAATAATAATATAGTAATTCTGTCTTCCCATTGTGGTCCTTGTGAATTGCACATATGGTATTGTCTGTAGCCCCGCCCACTCTCCCCTTGAGAGTATATATAGCCAGTGGGAGGGGCTACTGCCTCAGATCCTTTCATCCGCCGCCATTGCAGCAGCTAGAAATCTTTCTCTCTATGATAACAACAATAACAATAATAATGGATAATAATAATAATAATAATAATAATAATAATAATAATATATTATTATTATTATTATTATTATTATTATTCTATCTTACTGCCTGCCAAAAGGGGGTTGGACTGGATGGCCTTTTGGGGTCCCTTCCACCTCTATGATAACAGCAACAACAACAATAATGGATCATAATAGAATAGTAATTCTGTCTTCCAGCCTGGAAGGTAGAAGGGGGTTGGACTGGATGGCCTTTGGAGGTCCCTCTCGACTCTCGGACCCTTTGCCTGTCTCTCCCTGCAGTGCTCGGAGTCGGACAAGAAGTGCCACCTGTGGACGGTGGTGGACCTGGGCTTCTTCATCCTGATGGGGGTCCTGGGGGGCCTCCTGGGGGCCGCCTTCAACTGCCTCAACAAGCGCCTGGCCAAGTACCGCATGCGCAACGTCCACCCCAAGCCCAAGCTGGTCAGGTGAGACCCCAAAGGCTATCTAGTCCGACCCGGGGCTGGTCGATCACGCTAAAGCTCTCCCCAGGTATGTGAGATGAGTGACCCTCTTGCCGTGCAGGGTCTTGGAGAGCCTCCTGGTGTGCCTGAGCACCACCCTTGTGATCTTTGTCGCCTCGATGGTTTTGGGGGAGTGCCGTCCCCTCTCGTCCGCCAATCACGGAGAGAACACCTCACTCAGCCTGCAGGTAACGCCCCAAAGGGTATTTGTCAGCTAAGGGTGAACCACAACTCCCAAAATCAAAGTCCATTCCTCCAAACCATAGGAAAGAGTTAAAGGAAAGGTGGGGGGGGGGGGGGGGGAGAGAGAGAGAGATGAAAATTCCACACCAATGGAGATAGTAAGGAACCCTGGGATGTCCATTGTGGGTGGGGGTTGTCATGCAAATTCCACACCAGTGGAGAGAGTAAGGAACCCTGGGGTGTCCATTGTGGGTGGGGGTTGTCATGCAATTTCCACACCAGTGGAGAGAGTAAGGAACCCTGGGGTGTCCCATTGCGAGTGTGGGACATGCAAATTCCACATCGGTGGAGAGAGTAAGGAACCTTGGAATATCCATTGTGGTTTGGAGGGGGGGGGTCATGCAAATTCCATTCCAGTAGAGAGAGTAAGGAACTCTAGGATGTCCATTGTGGGTAGGTTGAGGGTCATGTAAACTCCACACCAATAGAGAGAGTAAGGAACCCTGGGATGTCCATTGTGGTTGCAGGGGGTTGTGCAAATTCAGCACCAGTGGAGAGAGTAAGGAACCCTGGGATATGTCCATTGTGGGTGGGTGGTTGTCCAAATTCCACACCAGTGGAGAGAGTAAGGAACCCTGGGATATGTCCATTCTGGAGCTAACATCTAAGATGGAATTGACTGGGTGGCTTGGCGTTGCTCAGGGCTCGTCGTCCGAGGAAGTCAACTCCAGCATCAAGACCTTCTTCTGCCCCAACGACACCTACAACGACATGGCCACCCTCTTCTTCAACCCCCAGGAGTCGGCCATCTTGCAGCTTTTCCACCAGGAGGGTACGGTCGCAGTCTGCATCAGAGGGATGTCATTGCTATGCGTTGGCTTTTGGGGGCAAAGCTTGCATAAAAGGGGCGTGGCCTATTATCGAGAGGCGGGGCTTCGGTTTCATCTGGCTCCTCCTCCTCTTCTTTTCCCGCTGCAGGGACCTTCAGCCCCGTCACGCTCGCCTTGTTTTTCCTCTTGTACTTCTTGCTTTCCTGCTGGACTTACGGGATTTCAGTGCCCAGCGGCCTCTTTGTCCCTTCGCTGCTTTGTGGCGCGGCCTTTGGGCGCCTGGTGGCCAACCTCCTGAAAAGGTGGGTGGGGCCACAACCGCTGGGGGCGGGGCTACATCACCTAGGGGGTGGAGCTTCATCCCGCCAGGTGCTGACGCTCGCATGGTTTTCCGCTCACAGCTATATCGGCCTGGACCACATCTACTCGGGGACGTTTGCGCTGATCGGAGCAGCGGCCTTCTTGGGCGGCGTGGTCCGGATGACCATCAGCTTGACCATCATCCTGATCGAGTCCACCAATGAGATCACGTACGGACTGCCCATCATGATCACGCTGATGGTGGGTTGATATTTGTGTCATTACGTTCGAGACCGTAATATTGGTGTGATTCCTCATTGCAATATTAATGTAACCATGGGGAACATTAAGAAAGATTCAGGGAGCGTCAGTTCCAAAGTCATGCAAATTCCACACCAATGGAGAGAGCCAGGAACACTGGGATGCCTCGGGTGGCTGAAACATCAAATCTAGGATGAAATAAATGAAAACCTTCACTTGGGTGGCTCTCACCAATGGAGAGAGTCAGGAACACTGGGGTGCCTGTGGTGGAGGACACACATAAAATCTAGGATGAAATTGTCCCTGATTGAAAGTCTTCACTTGGGTGGCTCTCACCAATGGAGAGAGACAGGAACACTGGGGTGCCTGTGGTGGAGGACACACATAAAATCTAGGATGAAATTGTCCCTGAATGAAAGTCTTCACTTGGGTGGCTCCCACCAATGGAGAGAGTCAAGAACACTGGGGTGCCTGTGTTGGAGGAAAAACGGAACATCTCTGGATCTTGCTTGGAGACACAATGACTCTTATGCCGAATCTTTTCCTCCCAGGTGGCCAAATGGACCGGCGACTTCTTCAACAAGGGCATCTACGATGTCTACATCAACCTGCGGGGAGTCCCTTTGCTGGAATGGGAAACGAAAGCCGAGATGGACAAGTACGATGCAATTGCGGCTTACGCTTTTTACTTATTTGGATGTGATTTGGTAGCCGCTATGTTATCTTTACGGTCCCAAACTTCACCAGGACGTAAAGTGGGTCATGGGGGAGTCTGTGTGCCAAATTTGGTCCAGGTCCGTCATTGGTGGGAGTCGCAGTGGTCTCTGGAAGTGGAAGCCATCTTGGCTTATATTGTGTACAGTATATAGATGACTGGTTCTTCCCTTCCACTGGCAGGTTGCGAGCCTGCGACATCATGGAGCCCAACCTGATGTATGTCTACCCGCACACGCGCATCCAGTCCCTGGTGAGCATCCTGCGCACGACGGTGCATCACGCCTTCCCTGTGGTCACTGAGAACCGGGCCTACGAGAAGGAGTTCATGAAGTGGGACCAGCTCATCAGCAACAACATCAAGTTCAAGGTGAGCAAAATGGTGTCCGTCAATCCCACGGCATTTTGTTTCTTCAAATGGTTAAGGGATGCTCGCAATTGGAAGACTCAACAACACACTGCAGAGGTGACCACACTGCCCAGTTATTGCACTTTTCTTTCTTGCCTCCCAGAAGTCCAGCATCCTGACCAGGGCCGGTGAGCAGCGCAAGCGAAGCCAGTCCATGAAGTCCTATCCATCCAGCGAGCTGCGCAACGTTTGCGACGACCGCGTAGCAACAGAAGAGCCTTCGGAAACAGAGGACATGCTGCAACAGATGCTAGAACGAAGGTAAGTGTTGGATCCGGATGTGACGCTTATGTCTTTTATTCTCTCAAGGCGAGCACTTAACTCAAACCAAAAACACTTGTAGAGTCTTTATCCGTAGTTGGCAGAGATTTATAGTAACTCGAAACACTTGTAGAGTCTTTRTCCGTAGTTGGCAGAGATTTATAGTAACTCAAAACACTTGCAGAGTCTTTATCCGTAGTTGGCAGAGATTTATAGTAACTCGAAACACTTGTAGAGTCTTTATCWGTAGTTGGCAGAGATTTATAGTAACTCGAAACACTTGCAGAGTCTTTGTCCGTAGTTGGCAGAGATTTATAGTAACTYGAAACACTTGCAGAGACTTTATCCGTAGTTGGCAGAGATTTATAGTARCTCGAAACACTTGCAGAGTCTTTATCCGTAGTTGGCAGAGATTTATAGTAACTCAAAACACTTGTAGAGTCTTTATCCGTAGTTGGCAGAGATTTATAGTAACTCGAAACATTTCAGAGTCTTTATCCATAGTTGGCAGAGATTTATAGCACAGCCTCTGACCTTGATTGCCGCTCACCACTTGAGCTCTCGCTTTTCATCCAAACTCATTTTGGGGGTTTTATTCTTTGCTTGTTGCTATATGTACTACTATTTATATCAAGCCTGCTTTCAATATATTTGGAAATATACTCACAACAACGCAACAAAAAGCGACAATTATAGCAATACATGCACATGGCAAAGAATCACGGCAAGAGGTCCACATAGCAAGAGGGCATCACAGCAGGAGATCATGCACATGCTTAACACTTATATACACACAGGGTATTAAATATTATTTTCATCATGACCCATTGTGGGGGATCTGTACCCACAGTCCTGGGCTTACTGTGAAACCACAAATAATAGTGACGCCTATAGAAGGGAAACAACGTCTTGCATGGAATTGTACTAAACAACAGCAACAACAACTATTACTATTTATTTACAGTATTTATATTCCGCCCTTCTCACCCCGCAGGGGACTCAGGGCGGATTACAATTTACACATACATGGCAAACATTCAATGCCAAAAACACACAACAGATATAGACAGACAGTCAAAGGCTATTTAACTTTTCTAGCCGCCAGGGGAGCTGTCGCTTTCATTGTCCATCTGCGACACTGATGAAGTACTTCTGCATTCCCTGCAAGCTTTTGCTGGAGTCTTTTTTTATGGCCTTGTAAATTAGTTAAATTAGCCTCCCCACACATAGGTGGTACCTAATTTTCCTACTTGACAGATGCAACTGTCTTTCGGGTTGCAAAGGTCAACAACAAGCTACGCAATTGGTTGGAAGCTCACTCTGACCCGGGCTGGCTTCGAACTCATGACCTTTTGGTCAGAAGTGATCTTAATGCAGCTGACACTCAGACAGCTGCGCCATAGTCCCAGTACTACTACTAGTAATGTTAATAGTGAAGTACTCCATCTCTTTCCAGATATACTCCGTACCCCAACTTGTATCCGGACCAGTCGCCCAGCGAGGAGTGGACCATGGAGGAGCGCTTCCGCCCTTTGACCTTTCACGGCCTGATCTTGCGCTCACAGCTGGTCACGTTGCTCGTGAGGGGTGTCTGCTATGCCGAGAACCAGTCGGTGGGTTTCCCTGCTCTTTGCATCTGTGGCGGTGTGACGATGTGTAAATTTTATTCTTATGGTTATGGGTTGTTTAAACAGTAATTAATAAATGGTAAGCATGTAGGATTATATTTTGTTAGAGATGGTGGCTGGTGGCTTGAGCTGAGTTGCCATAGCAATGGGGGCGGAGCCAACTGCCTCTTCACGGCGCAGCTTTTTGAAAGTGGCAGTCTGTAAGCCGGTGAGCTACAGGGAAGGACTGGTTTCTCTAGTGGGAGAAACAGGGAGTTTATTTGTGACCAAAGGGGTTACAGGAAAGGACCCGGTAGTGATAAAACTACAAGGGATTATTGATTCTGGGTTAAGAATCAAGGTTTGGCTGGGAGCCAATTCTGTTGAATAGGCCTTTTGGCTTATTTGTTTTGTTGGGACAGTTGTCCAGAAGAGATACATCTGCTTATAGAAACCTCTTGGAAGTCTGTGCCTGAGGTTACTCATGAAACCTTACTAATGTAACCAATCAAGATTCGTGCCTCTTGTGAAGAAACAATTGAACATGTTATACTCCTGTTAAAATAAACTTGTTACTGTTTTCCTCAAGCCTTGCCTGATACAGTTTCTCTTTAGTCAAACAGCCTGCATAAGAAGTAAAGTCAAGCCAGGGACAGTAAACGCTACGCTATCAAATAAGTAAATCCTTCTTTGTAAAACAGCTCCTAAGTTGATGCTGAGAATTACTGGGCTTCCTCACAGATTAGGGAGCAGTAGTTTTACCCTCCTTTACAGGCGGGTTTTAGTCCAAACTGCGAAATTGCTCCCCAAGCTTTTGAGGTGTGTCGTCAGGCATCCAATCTGTTGAGGTCTGATCTGGTGGGGAATTGTGTTGCTGAATTGGAGCTTGCTACTACTGTAGCGCCTCATGGAGAAAGTAGTTCTTCTCTGGATGATGGGAATGGCTTTACAGACAGATCTGATGTTAGTGAGGGTGTTTCCCACGAAATGCTGCTTCCAAAGGTTCTCCCCGACCCTGGAAAAGATGTGAGAAAAGTGGTAGATGCTGGATTGTTGCCCATCACACAGCAAATTCAGTTACAGCGAGATAGCGCTAAGCGGAGGCAATTACAGTTTTCTCAGCGTTTGAAAGATAAACAGAGGGATTGCAGGTGTTCGTTAGACAGTGTCTCCATGGGTAAAATTGGTTTCTTAAACTATCTTCTTTAGTTCCAAGATAGATATAGAACAAGATAAATAGATAGAAGTAGAACTAGATAGTAGATCAATTGATCGATCGATTTATAGAACTAAGATTGATAGATGTAGGTAGAACTATCTACATATAGAACTAAGATTGATAATAGATAGATAGTAGGCTTGGGCGATCCAGTTCGCTAATTTCGTTATTCGTTATTGATTTGTATTTAAATTAGCTTACGATCCAATATCAAGCCATGCAGGAGTAGTGTGAGGAGTAATTAAGAATCGAAACAATTTTTTCCAATTTTTGTAATTATTTCGTAATTATTTCGGAATTATTTTCGTATGTCTGGTGCATTATATTGTATATTATATTATATTACTATATTATATATTATATTACTATATTACTATTATATTATAATTGTATATTATAATATAATATATTATAATATAATATATAATAATAATATAATATACAATAATATAATATAATAATAGAGCCCCCGGTGGCGCAGTGGGTTAAAGCACTGAGCTGCTGAGCTTGTTGATCGAAAGGTCGCAGGTTCGATTCCGGGGAGCGGCGTGAGCTTCCGCTGTCAACCCTAGCTTCTGCCAACCTAGCAGTTCGAAAACATGCAAATGTGAGTAGATCAATAGGTACCGCTCCGGCGGGAAGGTAACGGCGCTCCATGCAGTCATGCCGGCCACATGACCTTGGAGGTGTCTACGGACAACGCTGGCTCTTCGGCTTAGAAATGGAGATGAGCACCACACCCCAGAGTCAGACATGACTGGACTTAATGTCAGGGGACTACCTTTACCTTTAACCTATAAAATACAACTAAAACATTAGTATATAAAATATAGGTACATAAGAAAATCTCTTTGGGATTTACTTCTGAATAAATTAGATTAAGATATGCTGAGAGTGCCTTGGACTGCGAGAAGATCCAACCAGTCCATCCTCCAGGAAATAAAGCCCGACTGCTCACTGGAGGGAACGATACTAGAGACAAAGTTGAAGTACTTTGGCCACATCATGAGGAGACAGGAAAGCCTAGAGAAGACAATTATGCTGGGGAAAGTGGAAGGCGAAAGGAAGAGGGGCCGACCAAGGGCAAGATGGATGGATGGCATCCTTGAAGTGACTGGACTGACCTTGAGGGAGCTGAGGGTGGTAACAGCCGACAGGGAGCTCTGGCGTGGGCTGGTCCATGAGGTCACGAAGAGTCGGAGACGACTGAACGAATGAACAATATATTGTATCTATATATATCTTATAATATAATGTAATATAATATATAATATATAATAATATAATATAATATACAACAATATAATATAATAATATTATAATAATATAATATAATATAATATAATATAATATAATATAGTTGTTTGTTTTATCACACCAACAGTCAACAACAGAGGGAGAGGGAAGCTTCAGAAGTTCCCCCTGTCCCATTTGGAGGTTTTTTTTAGCATATTGCGTGATCGCATCCACCATTAACGAATCCATTCGTAATTTACGAAATTTCGAAATTTTGAAATCTTAAATTTCGGAAGTCCTCAGAATTTCGAAACGCTAGCGCACCCTAGAAACGAAACGAGTTTGGAACCAATTTTTTTCTTGATCGCCCAAGCCTAATAGATCGATATAGAACTAGAGAGCTGGCCGAGCTGTATGTATTTGGGCTAATTAGCTCTTCATCTTGGGGGGGAAAGAAGTCACATAGGTGGTTGGGCTGCAGCACAATAACAACTGAGATAACAATCTGTTGGAAGGCCCTGGTGCCTCGGGACGTCTCGCATAATGTTTCGACTAAAACCCAGTGCAGATCCAGCATTGCACTGCCACAAAAGGCATCGGTGGTGACACTTTTTTGTGCTTGTGATGCTAATAAGTGTGTTTTCCCCATCTTTCAGAGTGCCAGCCAACCCCGGCTCTCGTACGCAGAAATGGCGGAGGATTATCCCCGCTATCCGGACATCCATGACTTAGACCTCACTCTCCTGAATCCCAGGATGATTGTGGTAAGTGGACCGAGGTCAGCTTTTTATGCATTTGTATACATTGCGCTGTTTCATCATTGTTGGCCTTCTGCATCCTCAGGTTTAAGCTTTTGCAGATTTGGTTATCTGAGGATTTGTTGGATATGTTCTCTCTAGGCATATTAATAATACTATCCCAGTTCTCTTTGCAAAGCAGTATTAGTGTGATAATAATAATAATAATATCATCCCAGTTTGCAGTAATAGCATGCATACAATATAATAATAATAATATTCTAGTTCTGTTTGCAAAGCAGTAATAGCAGAGGTACAATATAATAATCTATATATGTATAAATGCTCTGTGCATAATGAGTTCCTTAAAAACAAAAGAACCAATGAACGAAATCACACCAAATTTGGCAACAAAACGTCTCATAACACAAGGAGTGACCATCACTCAAAAAATTATGATTTTGTCATTTGGGAGTTGTAGTTGCTGGGATTTATAGTTCACCTATAATCAAAGAGCATTCTGAACTCCATCGACGATGGAATTGAACCAAACTTGGCACACAGAACTCCCCTGAACAACAGAAAACACTAGAAGGGTTTGGTGGGCATTGACCTTGAGTTTGGGAGTTGTAGTTCACCTACATCCAGAGAGCACTGTGGATTCAAACAATGATGGATCTGGACCAAACTTGGCACAAGCACTCAATATGCCCAAATATGAACACAGATGGAGATTAGGGGAAACAGACCTTAACGTTTGGGAATTGTAGTCACTGGGATTAACAGTTCACTTACAATCAAAGAGCATTCTGAAACCCACAAACGACAGAATTGGGGCAAACTTCCCACACAGAACCCCCATGACCAACAGGAAAATACTTAAGTCCATCCAATCCAACTCCCTTCATCAGGGCAAGAAAACGTAATCAAAGTCCTCCTGACAAAGAGCCATGCAGCCATAGTTATAGATAGATAGATTGTTGCTGGAATTTATAGTTCACCTACAATCAAATAGCATGATAGAATTGAATCAACCGGGGCATACAGGCCTCCCATGACCAACAGAAAACACTAGAAGGGTTTGGTAAGCATTGACCTTGAGTTTGGGAGTTGTAGTTCACCTACCTCCAGAGACTACCATGGACTCAAACAATGATGGATCTGGACCAAACTTGGCACGAATATTCTATATGCTCAAATATGAACACAGATAGAGTTTGGGGGAAATAGTCATTCACATTTGGGAGTTGTAGTTACTGGGATTTATAGTTCACCTACAATCAAAGAGCATCTGAACCCCACCAATGATATAATTGGGGCAAACTTCCCACACAGAAACCCCATGACCAACAGAAAATACTTAAGGCCATCCAGTCCAACTCCCTTCACCAGGGCAAGAAAACGTAATCAAAGCCCTCCTGACAAAGAGCCATCAAGCCATAGATATAGATAGATAGATATGATTCACACACACAGAAATATAGCCCCAGGTGGCGCAG